CTCTCTCTCTCTCCGGCAATGAAGCTCACCAACCCCTCAAGCCCCACCACCCACCGCCCTCCTAGATGACGAGGCCGCGGCTCTCCGCCGTCATCTTCGCCATCGCCGCGGTCGTGCTCTCGGCCACCGCCGCATCCCATGCCTTGGGCACGGGGTCCACCATTGCCGTCAGCTACTCCTCTGCCACCGTGTGCGGCATCTCCTCCGCCCAGCCCAAGCAGAGGATCGCATGCTACCGGCGAGGGCAAGTAGTGGACTTGAGCCCCTACGTCTCCTTCTCCGCCATCTCCGGCGGCGCCAACTCCGTCTGCGGGCTCCGCTCCGGCGGCTACAGCTTCCTCTGCTGGGACAATCTCGACGCTACCGGCTCCACCCTCGTCCCCAAGAGGATTTACAGCAACGACACTGTTCTGTTGGAGAATATCTCGGTTGGTGATTATCAGATTTGTGCACCGGTCAATGGTACGCCATCAGTCAAATGCTGGAGACGTAACAAGTCGTTCTCTTTACCTCCAGAGGATGATGAATTCGCTTCAATCTCATCTGGGTTCGGGTTTTCTTGCGGGGTTTCGGTGAATTCGACTCGTGTTCGATGTTGGGGAAGCAATTCGATTGCAGGGGATATAGAAAATGGGTTTGGAACTATGCCGATGTCAGGTGTCGTAGCCGGTGGTTCTCATGTTTGTGGATTGAACACGACTGGGTTTGTGGTCTGCAGAGGAAGCAATGAAGCCGGGCAATTAGACGTTCCCTTCAATTCAGAGATGGAGTACTCACTCCTGTCTCTAGGTGCCAATCACAGTTGCGCAATCCGGAGACTGAACAACACCGTGATTTGCTGGGGTGGCGAAGGGCAATTTTTTACGAACGAAACTGAGGGGACTTACTTTGAAGCGATTGCTTCGGGCGCGAGTTTCACTTGCGGGTTGATGACGAGCAATTTCTCGATAATGTGTTGGGGACCGGGATGGAACAATGGATCGGGTCCTGAGCGGCTTCCATTGACGGGGATTTTGCCAGGACCCTGTGTTCAATCCTGTGATTGTGGCATATACACCGAGTCTCAGAGCCTTTGTCACGGTTCCGGTGTTATCTGCAAGCTTTGCCAGGTTGAGTTCTTGCTGCCTGCGCCGCCTGCGCCGCTGCCGCCTGTGCCGCTGCCGCCTGCGCCGCCACCAGTCTCTCCTTCCTCTTCTCCATCCCAAGGCTTGAGGAAGAGCCTATTGGCATTTGCGATCGTCGGCTCTGTCGGGGTTTTTTCAGGCCTGTGCACGGCTATCTACTTGTTTTATACAGGGGCGTGTTTTGGGCACAAGAAGGTACACAACTCAGTGCAGCCAACAATCACAAGGGCAAATTCAAACAATGCGATGAACTCGAACAGCGGCAATCTCTTCAGATCATCGACCATCCGGCGCCAGAGCTCGAGAGTAATGAGCCGGCAGAGGAGCGGGACCTCCTCCAAGCACGCCGACAGGGCCGAGGAATTCTCGCTCGCCGAGCTCGCTGCAGCCACCGACTTCTTCTCCCTGGAGAACAAGATCGGCGCGGGGAGCTACGGGGTCGTCTACCGAGGCAAATTGCCCGACGGCCGCGAGGTCGCGATCAAGCGAGGCGAGACCGGGCCGAAGGCGAAGAAATTCCAGGAGAAAGAGAGCGCGTTCGATTCGGAACTAGCATTCCTGTCGAGGCTCCATCACAAACACCTGGTGAGGCTAGTTGGCTACTGCATGGAGAAGGAGGAGAGGCTCCTGGTCTACGAGTACATGAAGAATGGAGCTCTGTATGATCACTTGCACGACAAGAACAACGTGGAGATCTCGAGCAGCGTCCTGAATTCGTGGAAAATGAGGGTCAAGATCGCGCTGGACGCGGCGAGAGGTATCGAGTATCTGCACAGCTACGCAGTCCCTCCGATCATTCACAGAGACATCAAATCGTCGAACATATTGCTCGACTCGAATTGGACCGCTCGGGTCTCCGATTTCGGCCTGTCCCTGATGGATCATCGTCACCACCAGCAACAACACGAATCGGACCGCGACCAGAGGCCGATGAAGGCGGCCGGGACCCTCGGGTACATCGACCCGGAGTACTACGGGCTGAACGTGCTCACGGCGAAGAGCGACGTGTACGGCCTCGGGGTGGTGCTGCTGGAGCTGCTGACGGGGAAGAAGGCCATCTTCAAGGACGGGGAGGGGGAGGGGGCGATGCCGGTGAGCGTGGTGGACCACGCCGTGCCGGCGATAACGGCCGGGGAGGTAGCGAGGGTGCTGGACGGCAGGGTGGCAGCGCCGGAGATGGGGGAGGCGGAGGCGGTGGAGCTGGTGGCGTACACCGCCATGCACTGCGTGAACCTGGAAGGGAAGGACCGGCCGACGATGAGCGACATAGTGGCGAACTTGGAGCGAGCATTGAGCCTGTGCGAGGGCGATAGCCATGGAAGCATCTCCAGCGCCGGCGAAATCTCCATTGTTGCGGAATGACCAAAAGTTGAGAAGAGAGAAAAAATAAGCGGGTCGAATTCGATTTTTATTTTTCCGGAAAATCCCTGCCTAATTTTAATTGTTTTTTTTTTGTCCGATTTACTCCGATGTAAGCTGCAATTTTTCTCTTGACCTTCCTAACATTTTGTAAAGAGTAGCTTCCGTTTTAACCTAACGGTAGATTTTTGGGGAAATTTTCGTCAATCTTATATTTATTTGCTGTTTCCCGAAATTATTTTTCGTCCCTGTGATTTTCATATCGACAGCTTGAGAAATTTCTTATAATTCTGTCAATTGTTATGCTCTCCTCTTCTTGTTTTAGAAATAATTGATAAGAGTCATTAACGTGCGTGCCGATAAGAGACTCACCATATTCAATGGTCGGGATGAGTCCGATTTATCCGATGCATGTATTAAGGTAATTTTTGAAGGATTGCGACGGTCCATTTTGTGTTCTGAGAAAGACGGTCCACGCTCTTGTTCAACGTTTTGATTCCACGTCAACCTATTTGCGTACAAGGTTACCCGTTACACTGCATTCATATAATAAATTTCTGGCTTACAAGACCATGCCAATGCGTGGATAATTTTGCTCTAAATTTGTGCAGAATTATTATGTATTGACAAATAATTTGTGAGGCGCGTTTGTTTCGCTTGAAAAATTCGTGATAATAAAAAATATATTTCATGGAAATCATTTTCAAGGTAAATAGAGAAAGTGATTTCCTTCTTGCCAAAATGAGAAGTCGTTTTTCCACGATCTAAGCGTGTTTTCTTTCCATAGAAAACGTTATACCGAAAAGTCGAAAACGATTTTCCAAATATAGTTTTCTTTCAAATAAATAAACCCTCCCTTATTGTGCAATTACTCTTCACAATGACAGCATTATGCTAATTGCTAGTTATAGAGCAAAGGGTGATTAGTGTCAAGTGGTGGTGATAAGATGGGCCTACCTCTGGCCTGTGACTCACCAACAAAATTTTTGTTCTCTTTCATTGTGCTGTCATATAAAACGACTGTTTTTTATTGACGGAAAACAGAATGATTGACAAAGAAAAACAAATTCAACTTGCCCCATACTTTTCGACACCATATCAAATCGAATTTAAAATGTTTTTTTTATTGTTTTTTTAAATTTTGGTTCCCATGTATGCACCAAGCTGGGAGTGGGTAGAAAGCAGAGGGGTAGATGCAGGATGGATGATAACAACAACAAACATTAAACAAAGGAATCATTATCGTCTAAGATAAGACTTCTGGAAGAAGAGGGGGCCTTGTATTGCATCATCTTTGAATTCCTGTGTCCAACTCCTGCGCATTCAAACTTGCGTCCGTTTCCCCCCCCCCTCCCCCACAAAAAAAAAAAGCGATCGGACCAAAGAAAGTAAGCGCGACCCGAGGCTCACGGCGTCAACCAAAGTAGTGCTCGCTTTCTTCAGGCGTCGCTGTCTCAGGAACTTTCCATGCTCTTTGGGAGGAATATGTAGTAGAAGACTTAGTGACAAGGTCGTGCAGTAGCGGACACACAACTTTCAGACGTCAAACTTGGCGTGTTTGCTTCATCTTCACTCCAAAACGGGTCCTTGCCCCGACCGCCGGCGCCGTCCGGATCAAGCTGTGCTACAGAGGAAGATCTTCGAGACTTGCTTTGTTTTTGGCCAAAAGGAAAAGGGAATGAATTTAGGTGACTGGCCCAAGATAAAGACAGTCACACGAGCTTGCAAGGCAGAGCATATAGATTCACAGTGTTTTTATCACTAGTTGTACCGAAGGTAACAGTCGCAAGCACCATCAAATGACAGAGAATGAGACCCAAAGAAGAAGACAATGGACAGTGAGCTACCCGGATGTTTTGGTAATTTAGGATTTGGAACAAGTTCAATAATTGCCCTATCCTAACCGACTGCAGCCGTAAGATTTGTAAGCAGTTTTAGGCCATAAGGCTAAGTTCGATGGTAGTGAAAATTTCCAGTGACGCGGACTAGGCCTTACAAAAAGGTGCGCTTGTACTCGCATGATCTATTGATGAACTAGAAATTGTTTTCCCGACCAGCGACCTAGTGAAGTGAGAATTTGACCGCAGATGGAAGCGATGCTCCCAATGTAATATCTCTAGTTCTCCCAATGTAACTCTATTTATATGGCCATCATACTAAGTCTATGGAAACAAACAGAAACAGAAAGTTATGGACCGTGATATATCAATAAGTTCAAAAGAGACGTTCAGCTCCACGTGAGAAACCTCTCCTAAATAGAAAAATGCAGGCTAAATAACTAAAGATCTTTCTTTAGAAACATAAAGATATCGGAAGCTTCTGGCCAGCCCCAGCGAATGAGTGATGACCAGTTTTAGTGCAGCAGGAGGAGAAAACATCACATAGTAAGAAGTTGATACATTGTTACTATAGGGAAAATCATACTTAAACAAAATTCGTAAATACATTCTATTGCCTCTGATAAACTTTGTCCAAGTAACTAAGACCAAAATTAGCATGAGAAAACACACAAAAAAGGAAAAAGAAAAGAAAAAGCCCCACTTCATATCAAAGATATGTGCAAACAGGTTTTAGAGAAATTAAAGGAGATCAAAAACAGACAGTTTGAATGGCAATACATAAAATTACTTTGCAGTACCCTCACCCCACAAAAAAGGAAGAATCTAATCTATGCAGGCGAACACCGTCAGTTATATTGCTCCCCCGACAAACTCTGATTTTGGGGAGGCACTGAGATCGGCAAAGTTCTTTACCCTGATTTCAATGGACGAGCTCCATTACTCAATAGCAGACTTGGTGTTGCTGCTACACTAAACTTGTCTATTTTTACATACCTAAACAAGGGTAAGTTGGAGTTTTGGCCGATTCGGCTGAGGCTCCACGACCTCCATGTGAATGTTCACCTTCTGCAAGACCCCGTAACTAATGCTTCCATCCATCTTTTTTATCTTCTGTTGCTGTTCGTCAACAAACCATTCCCCGCCTCCCTTCTCACTTCTCTCTGTCAAGTATACAGGTCCTTCGATCCCGAATCTGCAAGAGTGAACGACTTATCAGTTAAGCACAAAAGATGTACGTGTCATACATGTAGACAGCAGATCCTTCCAGACATATATTACAAAAACCATGTTCTTTCTGCACTTGCCCACGATGAGGAGAGTTAACACCATTTATTCTATTCGGGAGGGGGGTAAGATTTTATCAACTATCACCATCAAGGCTTCTTTTAGCAACACAGTCAACATGGAAAGAATGACTGTCATAGAAAAGTTGCCAACCCAATCAATCCATGGCCACATACGTGGAGGCAGGTCTGGACTAACGCCATCGGTAAAACTCCTAGGTTTCTCTAAAATCTATGTGGAAATTGTTGAACCACCATCAAGCAATTGTTTAAATAATTAAATGCTCCGACACTCGTCTGCACACATAAGCTGGAATTTCGCCTAAATTTGAAGAGTGAAAATTGATTATAAATGAGGAAACAATGAGGGCCCAAAGAGGTGCGAACACAAGCCTTCTTTAGGTATCATGTGGGAACTGCAAGACTATTCTAGAATTTTTAAGGTGTATTTGATTAGGACTGCTTAATATTTACGTGTTCTAACAATTTAGAGTGCATGTTTCTAGAGATCATAGACTTTTTCTGTTCTCTCTAAGACGAGGATAGAATTTCTCACCAGCCAACTTTCCAAGGAAGAAGGTGCCCGCTTTTCTAATCGATGGAAAGATAGGTGTCCTAGCAAAAATATCAATTTGCTTGCTAGCCCACAGCATTAAAGATGCAGTCAACAGGCTTCCAAGTCTTTCAGCTGAATGGTCAAATTTCCTATCTTCGACCAAGATGTGTCTCTTGCAAAGATTTTCGCATTTAGGGTGTAGACTGAATTGGGCACGCACCATTCTTCTTTCACATACTAAGTCTGACTTTTCTTTCCATTTGATTCTTTTGTTACTTAATGTTGTTCTTGTCAGAAGGAGGAAGGCAAGAAGTCTTTGAATGTCATAATCGGTCAAAGTCTTAAATCCTGTGGTAGGCTTACCCATTGGATATGTGAAGAAAACTTGAACAAAGAATGAAAGCAGAAACAAAATCAAGGAGAAAGTCACTTACTTGGGTACAAAAACGATAAAGCCATTGGATCTAATCTTGACAATTCTAGCTTCGGTGTCAGTGGGCCTGCAGTAGATAATAGTTGTTTTCATATGCCAGTCAGCATCAATGCATGCTTGGGTGTGCTCAATCGCGTGCAGGTGACCAAGCATAAGTGTAAGAGAGAGAGAGAGAGAGAGAGAGTACCGCTTCCTGAAGTAGATGAGTGTATGGAGCTCCACTGAGGCTCTACTAGCCATCTGAGCATTTCTATGTCGATAATTCAGATCTGGCAAAAAATCATTGGAAAAGAACATGGAGTCAGTAATTTGGAAGCAAAGAGAGAGAAGTGCAACCACAGAGAAGACTTAAGAAGTAAACATTCAGTATATGGCTGTACCATTGATACGAGAATGTTCAAAGCTAGAAAAAAAGAGGCAATGAAACGGAACAATAATCAGCTTAGTTGGATCGTTCTTGTCTTACTGTCAGCAATACTTGTTAGCTGGGGTCTGTCTTGAAATACGGCTGGAAGCTTGTAAATTCCTAATGATGCAGCAAGCAACCTGTGCACAATGACATCTGCAAAATAGTTTAGTTCCAAAATCAGCATGTGCCATCTCTTTTACCACAAAGAGAAGCATCAGAAGAGAACTGCTTCCTTACCAGCATATCGCCTGATAGGTGAAGTAAAATGAGTATATAATGGGGCAGCCAGCCCATAATGATGGTATTCTGGCAGAGTCAAGTCGCCACTACAGAAATATACTGCCTGTATGACAAATGAAATAGATCATATATAACAAGAACATAAAAAAATAAGAAATTTTCAGGTTTAGAACATTCAATTAAAATCACCTGTGTCATGCATCTAGTTGCGAGTATTCGTATCAATTTGTTAAAATATGGATCTTCTCCCTGTAGGATTTAATTGACAATAAGAGAGCGAAATATAGCATGGTAAGTTGAAAAGCACATAACAAGCTGGACCAATCCTGGGGCAAACCATCTAGAACCATCAGCTTATAAAAGTGAACGAATTAAATCAGCAAGGTAACTAGAGAAAAGAAACCCACTTGAGCCAAATTAGAGATGGTTAACATCCATATCTCACACAAACAAAAGGTTCACGGACTTCATCAGCTGAAAAAACAATGATAAAGCAACTCACCACTGCACGGTCGAGCGAATCGGCCAGTGCTTTTGATGAAGAGACGTCCAAGTCAAGACCAACAGAAGCAGCTGTACGCAGCAATGGTTCAAGCATCTCTTTAGTCGGTATAGGATGCCGCCTTTGAAAACAATCAACCAAAGATATTTGTTATATAGCCAGAACCCTCACAAATGGACGTTAATCTGAGAGACACTATCAAAGCAAAGGAAAAAAAAAAAAAAATACAAGTGGTGATGTTCAATTGCATTGATATATAATCTCAGATCCACCATAAGAAAATACTTGTGGCGTTCCCTCTAATCACAGGGTATTTAGTATATCTAGTAACTTCATAAGGATCAGGCTTCTTTCAATGGAAGTTAAAATATAATGGGGGCGTGGCATAGTAAGACTTTTACCCAATTACGTACTATAGTATTAGTTTATATTCAAAGATAATCATTGTTTGAATTATGAAGCCACTTGCAAGGTGGTTGGACTCCTAAAATAAGTGAAAACAATCGTAAAACCATCAGTAAATTGAGAAAGGACTAAAAGTAGGACCCTTCAGGAACTGAAGTACAGGATGAGGCTCCATTCTTGTCATTATTTCCAGACATTTATACTCCAAAAAGCTTTAATAATAACCGCGCATTGAGTGATGCACCAGTGTCACTTACAGGTTGGAAATTGGAAAGGATGGCCATGAAAATAAAACAATGCCGCCCAAGATGACAGCAAAAGGCAGGAAATCTAGGAAAGCTAATCCCAGATTAACATAACAGAAAACACCAGCTTACCTCAACAGGGAACATAGAGGATAGTGTTTAAGGATTTTTTCAGCAACTGAAACATTGGCAGCAAGCATGAACTCCTCCACCATTTGGTTTGCTTCTCGAATCTGATACATGCCTGGAGATTTGCGGGTGGGTGGAAATGCAATTAGTTATGAAATGACTACAATAACTATATGCTGGCTGTTGGCAAAAGCAACTGACACCTCCACTTTCAAGTGCAATAATAAAGTGTTGTCCGATTCATCCTGTAATATAGTGACTGAAGATGACCACACTGGAAATTGGTAGTAAAACAAGCTTCAACAATTTATAGATGACAATTTTTTTCCCTTTTAGTAGTAAGGAAGCCTATATACCGGTAGGTAAACCTCCTTTGGGCATTCTATTTAGATATAAAATCAGAACCATTCAAATGATTTCAAAAGGAGAGATGAGTTTTTGGAATTTTTGGTTTAATACACTTGTATACAGGCCATGTTTCACTATTGTTTGCAGCCTTGTGTAATAACAGAAACAGGAATGGTCATTCATTCTAAAATTTAATGGAGTGACAGCGAATAGAGGGTACAACTAAAAAATTACATTTCAACAACTAGAGAGAAACTGTCTATCTTTAAAGTTTACACGACGTACCAATATCAAGAGGGTCATGAGTCTCAGTGTCAATTTGAAATTTGACCTCGGCAGAAGCAAGTGTTAAGGCTCCTCTCTCAATACGCCTGTGCCTCATAATCTACATCATGAGTATAACGCACCGTTTAGAGAAAGCCAGTTTCCCCAATAAACAAGCAAACCAGGTCGAGAATGCATGCACACCTTTGCCAATGTATTCATATTCCTCAAATCTGTAGTTAAAGGATCCGCCAACCGACTATAAAATAAGAGAAAGTAAGTAATCCAGCAATTACCCGAACAAACTCCTTGCAGTAGTATACTAGACATTACCATGGAAAGCTCACCAGTAAGGATAGGAACTGCTGAATTATGTTAACATGAAAATTTATTCAACAGAGGATAAGTCATGTGGAAATAGCATGTTATTTAAATAGCAAAAGCATCAAAAGACGAAAGTGAACTTTTAAAAAAAAAGAAAAAGGATTTGGTATCTCTCATGGTCCAACTGAAGTTGAGTTCCCAATATCTGTCTAAGCATATCATACGCCTTACATGACTGCCAATACCTATCGCTGTTCACAGTCACCACAAGGAAGCTTGAACACTCTCTTTTGGCAACAGCAGACTTATTTACTAGGTGAGAATATGATCAAACTGGACGGGACTTACAAACTGCATCAAGAATTTCTTTCTGCTAGTGCCACGCAATCATACACAAGTTTTTATGACCATGTTTCAAAAATGTTATACATTGAATGGACAGTCGATAAAATCATGCCACTTCCATTTTCTACTACAGGTTCATCACCAGTCACCTTTTTCTCCCCCAACTGGGACAACAATGAATAAACCAACAGGACCAAAGAGCACAGGTATATTTCCGGCAAACCTCTTTACAACCAAGCTTAGAAATATCAGATGTAAAGGAGATAAAAGTTTTTCAGGTATTTCAACATGAATATCGATAGGATGCCAGAGATAAGAAGCGAAAAAAGAACTAGTATGGACTAAGTTTTTCAAAAAACATACTATCAGAACAAGTTTAGTACATTGTGTGAGAGGTTATACACCAGAAAAGAGCCCATATGAACAGAGGAAGAACCTACTCAACATTTATACAATTACCTGTCATCCATCCTTGCCTGAGCTTCAATATAAGACAGAGCTGCACATGATTTGATAATACTTTTTGCATATCTTGTGGATATTATCTCTGCTTCAGGTGTCATTTCCTGAAAATGGGCAGTAAACAAGATTGTTCTCCTTTTATGAGAAGATCAAACAATATACTTGTATACACAGGGCACACGAGCTATCATTTGGTGTAGTCTGGTGATGGCAGCTAATGGACATGCAATCCTCTCATCCAAAAAGAGCACAGCAATTGACAAAGAAGGTAGAACAAGAACATACCCAGATAACAGAAAAAGCCAGTCTCTCCACATCTGCCCGAAGTGAACATATATCTGAAACATAAATTCACACATTAAGTTTGATCCCGGAAGGACTATGGATTAACCACAATCAGTCTTTTCTCTGATGTCAAAGAGACAATTTTACTACTCTAAATAATGTATTACCTTCTGTCAAAGGCTTTGGAAGCATATCAATGCGGCGCTCAACAAGGTAAACAGATGTGCCCCTTTGCGCAGCCTCATCATCCAGTGGTGTAGAAGGGTGCACAAAGTTTGTCACATCAGCAATATCTAGGTGACTAACATTAAAGAAAAATTCCTGGCTTAAGTCTTCAAAAACCAAAAATTCAACTAGTTAAAATGGTTGGCCCTTGAACTCCTTAGAATGTGATGCCAAGTTACTTTGGTGTGGAACAATATTAACTTGGAGCCCATCAACATGGAGTCAAACTGAACCATGCTCAAAAGATTGATAGCAAAAATAAAGCTTCTAAATCAAGTGACTCTGAGTTTTTCAGAAATTTTGGAGACGAAGAATCATCAAATTCAGAAATCTGAGGGGAAAAAATGTGCAGAAACATAAGGCACAGGACTTATCTCTACCCAGCTCAAGGAAGGACCAAAAGAGGAGATTTAAAAGGACAAAAAAACTAAAAGGAACTTGGCCCAAGAAAGCCTCACTTGCTAGAATCGGCAAAACTTTCCTGCTAGACAATGCCATGGCAAAAAGGAAATGTTAAAGGAGTCGGTAAAAAGAAAGGCATCCTTGTCAAGGCAGGACCACCTCAGAAGATGGTGGCATTTACTACAAATTGAAAGAAGAAACTGATAAATACTCATTCAATAAGCTTGATAACAAACAGGGTGCAGCAGAGGAGTTATTCTTGGAATTTATGCTCACAGGATAAGTAGAAGTTCCATACGCAGCTAATCAAGATTAAAGAAAATAAAAATCCAGAGAAGGATCAGGAAGAAACGGAACCAGATGAGGTTTCTGACATGACATCAACTTACACTTCTGTTTACCTGATTACAAACCACAAACTTTCCTATGCAAACGACTCTAGAAATACCATTATGGCAAGATCAATCTTAACTCACAACCATGTTAAATCTAAATACGAAGCCCCGTGGAAGCCCAACTCTAAGGATACGAACTCCAACTTCAAAATTTCCACTGGAAAGGGCTGTGCAGTGCAGCGCGTCATCAATATCCTTGCATCCTGCCCAATGCAGAAGTATACATTAAACATTAAAGAGTAGAAATGTCAAAAGGGAAAAGAATTGGAAATTAGCAAGTATATACAAGTAAGATACCTGGAGGGTCCACACTGAAGACACACAAATGCCGTAAATCTTGCCTGATGGGATTTACCAAATCTTCTGAGGAGACTGACCATGGTAATGGAGGCAAACATGCCAATACTTGGAAAGAAAATGGCCTTGCATCAATGTCATTCTCAATTAATACAACCTACACACACATTGAAGGAAAAAAAATGTCATATTCCATCTCACCTTCCATTGAGCAAAAGGACAAACGTTTCTTGTTTCTTTTAAAAATCAGTACTTACAACATAAAAATTTCAATCACTCTCCACAAATTTCTCGTCCATGAAACCAAACACAGCTAAAGGACACAAAACTACAAACAAGCGTGGAAAAACAAAAAGAACGCATAATCAGGTACCTCGCTTTCTGTATCTCTATCACCTATTTCTCCAATTGTACGAACATAATGCCCAGAAGGATAGCGTGAAAGACGGTCCCAGGAGTCCACGGTCACGACAATTCTCTTGTTCAGAAGGTTTCCAAGCTGTCGAGTTTGGAGGCGAATTTTTGGAATTCTCCTGTCCTTAGAAACAAATAGCGCATGTGCAACACCCCCATCTCCCGCCGGCATGGGCATAGGCTCCAAAGATCCACAATAACTGCTCAAAGTGAGTTAAGCCAATACCAGGAAATAGGTACATAATGGAGAAAGAACCAAAATATTGGAACAACCATTTTTCGGCATACAATTGGATGTTAACTTCACAAACTAAGTAGTGGTATTCATTCGCACCCAAAAGAATGAACTTCACAAGAACTATAAAGCCAATATTAGGGAGATAATTCTTTTTTTTTGGTCGAAGGGAGATAATTCATTTAAATGCTTCCTTTTAGCAGCGTAAATCAAGTGCAGATAGGTCCACACACTTACTAAGAAAGACAGCGAACTACAATGTCGTTAAATCACAAAAGCTGATTTATCAGCATGTACAAGTTACTCACACTATCCATATATTTAAAGACAGTCCAGAAATTAAACAGTGATGGTCAACTGAACGGCAGAATGCATGCCACACCATATGGAATAAGATTACTAATGATGCAAACATGTATTTTATAGTCCAACCACCAAGTTTGAGTTAATAGCTCCATCAACAGAAAAGTAGAAAAGCTACTCCTGTAAACAAGTAACAGAGTTACACCATAATAATCCACTTACGAATGCCAGTTCCTCTTTATGATACCAACAACCCGGCCAGATGGGCGGTATGGAGGTGGACCAGCAGCACCCTGTACCAGATTTGTTGTCCTAGGGGCATCATCTGCACTGCCCGGGACCAGATGAACTCCTTCCTCTTCATCCTCTGTAATTAAATAAAAATAATGATATTTAGAAGCAGAATCTTAGGATCCAAAAGAGCACCTGGTTGAAAGCTGAGCAAAAGGAAAAAGCAAACATTCCTTAAAACAGGCACCATGTAAACTACCGTACCTTCATCTGCTAATGATAAAGAGTTCTCCTCATGCCACTGATCTTGAGGCAGTAGTTCCACCGCCACAATATCACCATCAAAAGCTCGATTCATATTTCCACGCCCATATATAATGATTTCATCACCAATACTTTCACTTCCAACATATGCTTCGAAAGGATTGTATCGATTAACACGAAGCTTCCCTTGGTGAAATATTCCTCGATGCAACCCAGAAGTAATTTCAGATAGGGGCTTGTGCTGCATAAACGAAAAATGCTAAGAACAGCAGTATATCATAATCTTCAGCTCATTCAAACATACCAACAGCTTACACCAATTTATTAGACGGGATGGTCTCAAGACGTACCTCAGCATACATAACTTTCCTCTTTGATGGTCTTAAATCTTCAACTTCTTCCATGTCTACATCCTCTGATGCAGGACGCACAAGCAAATCTAGCAGATCCTGGCGGTCCAGTGATTTCACATAGGCTTCAACTGCATCACCGCAATTAAACATAGGTTAAAGTTACAAACAAGCAGCACATTCACCATGCACACTCACCAGACATATCACAAAACATTATTTATAGTTATAAAGATCTACATACAAGTCATGTCTAAGATGGGGTGCACACAGAGGCAATAGTTACAATTGTCCCTGAAACTTAGAAAAGCATATTGTGTAACGAATAAACTGAGGAGAAAGTAAAAAAGTTATACATACTGGTCTCTGCTGGAATGCCCCCTTCTGTAGCTTTCCTCTTATTCTCCCTGTCGTTGGTTATGAGCAGAACCTGAGCAGTACCACCCAGATGACGCTGATACCACTGAGCCGCCACACGTATAGCTGAATTAGAAATTCTAGAGTGTCAGTTGGAAATTATGCAAATAGATGTGTCCGATGGAACACTAAAACAATAACTACTCAATGGCATTGTACATATTGAACAGGTAATTGAGCGATAACCATCAAAAAGGCTGGGGAAAAAATTCAAAAGAGTAACGGTGCAAGAAAATCAGACCTCTATCATTCCTATCATTTTTACTTTCACCTGCCATGTCCTGGACAAACGTATCCCTGCATAAATATTAGCCGATATGCTTAATTGGAATAGCAGCAACATAGAGAATACATACGAAGCAAAAATCAACCATAGTGAAAACTACCAACCACGTAGGATTGTAGAATGAATTCCTAACCCATGACACTTCCACATCAATAACCTAGGAACGAGAAAAAAATGAAACAGATATATATGCAGAAAGCAATGATGAATAACGTTCCACCTGTTAAAGCAGTGTGATGTCGAATCTAATGAATCACAAAGATGCGTGATCAACTACTCCCAAGAATGCAAGGGCCAAATACAGCTTAAGGAGGCCATTCAAATCAAGTCTCCCACTTTATATTATTGAATGAAAATTTATCTAAAAGCAAGTTTTTTCTACCTAATCCCGGAGAACCTTCTCATCTACGTCACCTTAGACGAGCATCCAAATTACTAAAACTACCTCTCCCATACCAGCAATGATCCTCTTTATTAACATCACTAGCATCTGTCCCCTACACAACATGAAAGCTTGCTCTCCACTAGGCAATATAATTACAAAGCAAGTACTCACTTGTGGTGCTCATTCGAGAAGACAAAGAAGTTCCTTGCCGAATTGCTGCAGAGCGCTCTGATTCTATTATAGACGGACAAATTCCTGTTCCTGACCTCTTGGAGCACGATAGACAGCACGACGACATCGTCAATCGCCGGATTCTCAAGCAAATCAATCTAAAAACAGCACCACCAGTAATCCCAAGTCACATTCCGTTACTCCAAACTGAACCGCATAGCCACGCATTATTAGCGACCGAGGCTCAGTGTTCACCTGATTGAGAACGACGTTCGTGTCGAGGACGAGGATCGGGGAAGAGGCGGAGCCGCTCAGGCGAGCGGCGGAGGAGTCGCAGGCTTTGCATATCGGGACTCCGCAGTAGATATCGTCCCGCAGATAGTGTTCCCTCACATTCTGCGGCAACCAAGTGGAATACAGAACAATAACGTCAAACGTCAAACCTAACAATCACAGAAGACTCAGAGAGCGAGAGCGAGAGCGAGGGCGATAAACGTGTCGAAGAAGTGAAGGGCGAGAGACCTTGGTGATTTTGCCCGATTTCGTCTTCTTGACGAAGGACTTGTTGTGCAGCATGCTTCGGCGTGGTCAGCCCTCCCGAGTTCCTAACGCTCTGCCCCCCGTTCTCCGCAACTGGAAGGATGGAGGGGGGAAGTCGCTTCACAGTTTCCACAGTAGAACCGACGAGAGCCGCCGGAGTTATCCGCGGCGGCGGCGGCGGCGGAGGCGAGGGGGCGGTGGCTTCCGCAAAATCGAACCGGCGGAGGTGGAGCTTGAGCTCGAGCTTGAGCTTCTCTCGCGGCTGATGAATGGGCGGAGGGACGGGGGCAGCAGTATATCTCTTTCTGCCTTCAGAAGGCAGTGCACTGGGATTGAAGAAGGCGGACGCCGAATCCGGTTCGACCGGTCCACCGCCGGCTCGATCGGCGGAACCTCTCGCGACGTCCGCGCTGCGCGCCGGCATCCCTTGTCTCGTCGGCGAACGAGATATATTTTGGGCAGTTTCCTCTTTTGGCCTCAAAAGCATATCTAAAAGTACAATTTTGCCCCTTCTAAAGAGACGAAAGCCTACTTCCCTCATCCCCCTCTCTCGTTCCATCGCTTGCTCGCTCGCTCTCCCTCCCTCGCTCGACTGCTCCGTTCCTTCCCTTGCGTGTCAATTCTTGGTCTGACGCCTCGATGGGGGTCGCATCCGCATAGAAGCCCGAAAGGGGTGCCGACGGGGAGGAGCAGCGGAAGCAGTCGCCGGAGCCGGAGCCGGAACCAACGCAGAACCTCCGCTCGTCACCCCTGACGGCGGCGGCAGCGAGCGGAAGCGCAGCCGCTCGAGGGTTATTACGGAGGAAGAGATTGAGGCCTACAAAGCGAGGAGCGCACGGAAGAAGGCGATGCTCGTCGCGAGGAGGTTGAAGTCGCGGCCGGTCGCTGGTTATTCCAACGCTTCGAATCCTTTCGGCGATTCGAACCTCAACGAGAAGTTCGTGTGGAAAAAGAAGATTGAGCGTGATTTCGAGCTGGGTGCGGAACTCGACATGTTCTCCATCAAAGCAGAGAAGAATAGGCGGAGAGAAAGAATGGCGGAGATCAAGAAAGCGAAGAAGAGAAGGGAAGAGAGAGCGCTTGAGAAGGCTCGGCATGAGGAGGAAACGGCAATGCATGCCAGACAGCGTGCTGGAGCAGAGTTTCAAGATTGGGACAAGAAAGAAGAGGAGTTTCTATTTGATCAAAGCAGAGTCAGGTCAGAGATCAGATTGCGCGGAGGACGTTGTATCGAAGCACCTCCATGGTTCAGATGATCAGGGTATCGAATTGAACGAACCTTACAGGGTCTTCGAGGGCTCGACGGCGAATGAGATGGAAGAGCTTCGCGGCGACATCAGAATGCATCTCGATTCGGACACGGCGACGGCGGTCCATGTCGAGTACTGGAAGGCGCTCCTAGCGGTTTGCGACTGGGACCTGGCGGAAGCTAGGAAAAGGGCCGCGATCCTGCCAAGTTGCTTGCGGGAGAAAGGGGTGTGCATTCCAGCGTCGAAGCAGATGTGAGGGCTTATCTGCAGAAGAAGTCCTACCGAGAATTGGAGGGTATGCACGCTGGTGTCGAGGCTTGGTTGCGTTCCGGCGCAGCTAAGGATGTGGAGTATTGGAAGGTTACCCTCGAACTTATCCGCATATACAAGGCAAGGGCTTTGCTGAAAGAATTTCATGCGAAGACGAAGTTGCGCGAGCATCAGCAGCCTGCGGATGTCGTCGATGAATGGGAAACTGCTGATGTTGATGAAGGATCAATGTCCCCAGAACCCGAAGAGGTGGTGATGGAGTCAGCAGAGGTGGCTGGATCATTCGCTCCGAAACTGCTGCATCATCACGGTGATGGAACCGAAGGGGCCGTCCACCCTGAAGAGGACAGGGCCGCATTGGAACGGAAGAGAATGGAGGTGCTGGAAGAACGGCGAAGACGGATGCAAAGAGCTGTGGCGCCAAAGCCAGCTCCATCAGCAGATAGTTTTGAAATGAAGGCCATCAAGGCCATGGGAGCCATGGAGGATGGTGATGCAGCTTTGGGCGCCAGCGTGGAGTTGAATCTGGGCTCGCCGGTTTATCGGTGGGACGACAAGTATCGGCCGAGAAAACCAAAGTATATCAACCGCGTGCACACCAGATACGAGCGGAACGAGTACAACCAAACACATTATGATCACGACAATCCGCCTCCGAAGATCGTGCAAGGGTATAAATTCAATGTCTTTTACCCCGACCTCGTCGACAAAGCTGGGGCCCCGATATACTTGATCAAGAAAGACGGGAATAGCACGGAGACGTGCATCATCCGGTTCCGCGCCGGGCCTCCGTACGAGGACATTGCTTTTAGGATTGTGCATATAGAGTGGGAAAAGTCGCAAAAGAAGGGCTTCAAATGCACTTTTGAAAGAGCGATCTTGCATGTTTATTTCAACAACTTCAAACGGTATCGCTTCGATTTTTTTCCATTTTCTATGGAGACCATACGTTATTTCAACTGTATAGACATATCCATGAATATAGACTAGATAGTGATCAGTTTACAGTTCGCAATGAGTATAAACATTTCTATGAATTGCACGACGAGGGTATGAAATTCCATATGCAAGAGATTTCGTGTGAAGATGAATTGCTGGGACGGACTTACATTTACTTGAGCTTGGTTACCGGCATCGAAAGTTCTTGATTCGAAAAGTGTCCGATATGACTTTTCTTGGAACCACTCACCGGTCCGTCCTCATTCGCGCTCCGGTTCGAGGCCTGCTGCACTAGGTTCTTCTCGGACTGGCTTTTCACCACCTCTTCCCTTAGCATCGACTATGAACGAGAGGAACCGTCTGTAGACGGCTCGATCAAGGGCTCGAGGCAGACCATCTCTCTCTGTTTTTAATTTTACTAGTGCACAGCGAGAGAGAGAGAGAGAGAGAGAGAGAGAGCGAGAGAGAAAACACCACTCGTTGTGATGCAAGGAGGATGCTGACAGCAGAACACTCCAATAGAACAGACTCCATGAATCATTCATTCTTTGACTGTAACTCTCGGCGGCAACCCGAGTGCTCACTTTCTTCAGGTGTCATTGTCACCTGAACTTTTCTACGCTCTTTTAGGAGGAACGTTAAAAGAAGCTCTCTTGAGAAGGCTAAGTCCGCTACTTTTGATTGGTCATGCAAAACAAGGCACGTACGTGACTTTCGGACTTCGAACCTACCGCGCTGTACTTCGCTTTTACCGCAAAACAAAGTCTTGGTGAATCCTCAGCCCCATCCGAACTCAGCTGTACTACAGAGGAAGATATTCAAAAGCTCTCGATGACGTTATACGGTTCTCGGATGTTCCGAGTGAATGTAAGGTTAGTTCGAGACGTCACACGAAACAGTAATAGAACCACTTGAATGCATCACAGTACAGCAAAGAACAAACATTATATTGGCCTTTATGATAAATATGTCAAGGTACAAGAATAAAAACCAGCCTAATCTCCAGGATTGGGTTTCTTAATAAAGTAAAAAAATACTAAAACTATACGGATATTTCAGCGTTCATCATAGATTAGAACATGTAAGATTGTTGTTTTCGCGTTAAGATTCATATCTAGTCGGTGGCGAATTTCTGCACAGAACTTTATCTAATCTATGCCTATGAAATAGATGAAAGAAGACTATGGTATGTGCAAATACATTACGACTAGATTCGAGGATGTCTTCGTTGTCTTTGCCTATCGATCTCATTCATCCAATCAGAAAGCCTCAATAGACCTTTGTAACCATAGTAGCTCGCTGCGATCATAACCACCGCAATGGCTAGACAAACAAGCATCCACCGCACGGCGCTGCCAAGTCTCTGTCCAACAACCAACAAAATATACTCAATCAACCAGAGAAAAAGAGTTATTGTCTCATGCAGGTTTTTGTCCAACGAAATTTATTACCTGCAGAGTCGAAGTTTCTCTCGTTTCTTGCAGCCTTTCACGTCGCTTCCGACGCTTTGGGGCAGACTTCCCTGAATCAGGCTCCTTGATCTTGAATAAAACGCAATATGTTATGAGATGCTTAGTCAATAAACTCTTCTTTTAGGAGAAACAAGTTCTTTAGTCAATATACTCATGCATAAAAGTATCTCAATCTTTATTAGCAAGGATGTTTGTGTCACATGTCACAAGTTAAATCAAGAAAAATTGGGAATAGACTGAGATCCACATAGGAGGAATAGAATAATTTAAAACGAATTATACTTAAAAGAACCCGTACATTAGATAACAAGCCAAACTTAACCAGTTTTTTCCCAGCGTTTTAGTTTCATACAGAAGATTCAATTCCGAATTCATTTTAGCATCTATTTCTGTTCTATAGAAGTCATGTTTATATGCACAGTATCTGCATTTGATACACATTAGATACAGCACATCTGAAACCTAGTCAGTGCGCTGGAAACAATCTGGAGTGCTAATTCCGGCTGCGACAACCTTGGACTTACCTCTAAAATTTTAGGTTTACGTTGCTGCAAGTCCGATTGAAGAACTTGTACTGTGCTTTTGCAGTCAGAGTTGCAAGGAAGAAGTCCATGTCCAAATTGATTCTTAGATATGTCCTTTGCATCACGGCCAGCAGCACGATATGATGCTTGGACATCGTGACAAGACCACTCCTTTTTCAAAGTCTGGCATTCACAACGAACAGTAACCTTGCAAAAGAGGATTTCGAAAGAGAAATACAGTAAATTAATTGTTCCGGTTAACTACTATATTCAAAACCTACCAATCAAGTATGCCATTAATAACTTCAATAAAGATGTCAAGTCGTCTTTCCATTTATTTGTACAAAAAGTAGCATAATACCTTTTTGCCACACTTCTCGGGAGATGGGCATGGACCGGGATGGCACTTCTCTGGGCAGAGATGGGTACAATTGGGCAACTTTCTGCACATCAGAAAGTGATAACAAGGTCTCATCAATCATCATGGTAGCCCACAAACAACCATTTCAAACCACCACAGCTAAAATAAGCTTTTGCAGAAGAAACTTAAGACACAACTCATCACCCCATGAAACCGTAACCAGCTCACCAAAGAGCCTACCACTTTGTTTCCAGAAAAATTGTTTCTTAAATGGTGCTAAAATGCACCTTTTATTGTAATTTATTGATAACTTTTCTTTTGGAAGGAAAATGTGCAAACTTTGTTTTTCTTTTGCTCCCAAACAAAGCTTTTTCCACTTCCTAGAATATTTCAACAAAAGAAACTATCAGCTATAATCAT